TGTCAAATGTCACCCGGTGGTGTAGCGGACCCAGAGGGTGGTCGGCACGTCGGCTATAACACAGGGGTATCAGCAACTGCGACAAAGCGTTGGGAAGGATGGGCGCATACCAATGACGAGCTTGAGAGCGTGCTCGGGGCAGTGGCCCGCGCCGGACGCCACAATATCGTGGACCTCGCGGCTGGCCGGGACCTTCGTCCCGTCAAGCGTCTCCCACCAAGTCATGGTGCGGAAACGAGCCTCAAGGAAGCCCTGCGCGAAGACATGGTCAAGCACGTCCTCAAGGTCGTGCAACCGTCCCGTCGCATGCTCCAGCTCAATAAGCTGAGCCGTAGCGGGCTTCGCGGCGCGGGACGCCTGGTGGTAGATGATCCAGAACTCGTGCGCGTGCGGCATAGTAGTGTTCGAGAAGGTAGAGAGCGTGGGCGACGACAGGAACGGCGAAGACGCGTCGGAAATGGTGAGGTGGCTGGGAAGGCCGGACAGGGTGGAGCTCGGGCTGGAGGACGCTATGGTGGGCGACTGAAGAAAGACGTGAAACGCGATGCGCTGGCCTTATACGTCTGGCGCGATGAGCTAGAGTCTAAATAGTGCCCCTTGAGCGCGTCGGGGTGCGAGGATCTCGCTTAGCGACGGGTCTGAAACGTTTGCCGGTGATGGGGAGAGGGCGGGCATTGGTCCGGCCCCGCGACTTCGTTGTCGCCGGGCATAATTGCTATAAATTGCCCTGAGGGTCTGGACGGAGAAGACGCCAAGGGAGGGGCTGCGCAAGCCGCTATGGGTGCCATTCAGGACCGCAGACCTGTACGTGCTGTAAGCCGGTATGTCGCGCGCCAGAGAGCGCACAGCGCTAGGAAGGATGGGTATTCTGAAAGTTAGCACTGCGGAAGGCTGGATGCGGGTAACCCCGACGCCTGTTGACACCAGTTAGTACGCCGATCCCGTAGATCCTGCATGAGGATCAGAGAGCACGCGCCACCAGGACGTCTGTATTACATTATATTAGTTCTTTCATTATAGACAATGAAGCGTGCAAGCGAGACGCAAGAATGCAAGGAAACCCAAAATGTATGCGCAATGCAAGAGAACTCCTAGTCCATCCGTATGTCCACATCCGTGAAAGCCATCGTCCGACGGGAGGCGTAGCTGACACCGGGTCGACCGTCGCCCGCTCGCTGAGACGCGAACTACACGGCCATCCCAAACGCAGCCGCGCTCTCTCCCGACGTCCTCCTCGACACTCCCCCCTCATCACTCAACGCACTCGCCGACCCCCTCGGACTAGCCGTCAACGCCGCATCCGTCATCACACCATGTCCCCCTCCTCCCCCACCGCTATCGCTCCCACCTGCAACAGACTGCGGTCTCGGCGACGTAGAGCTCATCCTGAAACTCCGCGCTCGTGCCGTTGCGGGTGCGGATCCGGGTGATGTAGGACGGCGGAGGGCGTCAAGGGAGGGGTCATTTAGAACCGATCCGTGTGTCGACATTCTGAATGATTTCAGCTTACTTCCTCCAGCTGTAGGCGGGGAAGATAGCCTTGATGGCGTAGCAGATGCGGGCGCAGGAGTGGGCTGTGCGAGGGTCGCCGTGGACGGACCAGCCTCCGGGTTCGGAGATGGTGGGACGGTACCCCCGGGTGACACAGGACCCCGCTGGCGAGCGAAGAACGACCCGATGCCCGCGCCCCACGTACTCAACCTCTCCCCCGCAGATGAGACCGTCGCTTTCAAGTCGGGAGATAGAGGTGCAGCCGGGACCGGCGGTGCACCCTCCGCCTCGCTCTTCGTGATGACCTCGATAGTGCTCGTGCTTGCCGCGCTGGACGCCGGCGGACTGGTTGTGGTCGTTGCAGCTTGAGGCGGCACCTCGGTAGGCGGGCTCTTCTGTGCGGCAGCGGATGCGGCCCATCGTCCCCTGACGCCCTCGACAGCACTGAAGAAGTTCTTGCTCCCCGCCGCGAACGTCCTACTCACAGCCTCCCTCGCAGGCGCAAGCTGCTGCTCGAGCTTCAGGTCCTGGATCCCTTCTGACAGTCGGAGCCCGATATCGGCTATGGCGCTCGGTTTCTCGCCGCATGGGTGGCGCGGCTCGACGATGTCGAAGAGCATGGGGTCCGTGACGCGGTTCCAGACTTCGTACGCGTTCGTGCGCTTGAATTCGGCAATCCAGAGCGGGTTGAAGTCGATTTGCGCATTCGCGTCGCCTGTTGGTAACATGCGGTCAATCGACTGCTATGGGTGAACAAGAAGTGTAGTAGAGCACGTACCCGCGTCGGCAATGATAACCCCTCCAGCCTGCCCCTTGGCCAAGAAGTCGCCGTATTTGACGGATGAAAGAGCAGCTTGAATATATTCTTCGAACTTCTGGCGCATATAATCGTCACTGCCCTTGAACCTCCTTGCATGCGTCAGCACCCCCTTCACTTGTAACTTTAGATAATACGCACTGCATCCCCCTCGCGCCCTCCTCGCCCGTAACGTCTCTCACAACCTCATCCACCCACTTCCTATCCGCGGCGGTTAAAGCGCATATGCGCTCGACCTTGGGATCGCGGAACTCGATGGCGCCCGTCTCAATGTTCACCAATAGCTCGATGTCTTTGGATTGGGTGACGATCGAGTTTGTCGAACCGCAGAGGAAGGACTGGGTTTGGGATTTTATGAGGTCGAGTTGTTGGAGGGGGAGGTAGGGTTGGAAGAACGCGTTCTGCAGAGTGCGTTAGTCAAGTGTGAACGTAGTTTTGCTCACAAATCGAGAACGTACCTTGCCGAATAAATCCAAAGGAAAGCCAACAAACTGCAGCATACTCTTCCGATCGCTCGTCTTCAAAGTACTCGGCGGCCCGCTCAAACCCGCCGCTCGACTCGCCAGAGGCGGCGAGCCCGAATCTTCCAACGTCTGTAACAGACCCGGGAAGAGCGAGACGAGCGAGTATTGATATGTGCATAGTTTTTCGACAGGGTGGCCGTAGAACATGAGCTTGCGTTGGAGCATGAGGGCTTTGACGAGAACGAGCGTCCGGTGTCGGAATTGGCGGACGAGTTCTTGGAGGTTGGTGCCTGTGTAGATTATGGTGAGGCGCGTGTCATATCGTGAGTGGATTGCTAGCCGTACCCATGTAAAGTCCGCTCTCAGTGAGCTGTGATCGTAGTGATGGCTCCAATGACTCGTGAAAGGCGGACAGTATGCTCTTGTCTGTGAAGTCCCTGGCGAACCGCCTCAGCACTCAAATGAATGCGGATGCCTCGCCGAACTTACTTCTGCTCGAACAGCGCTTCGGTGATGACACCCAACCGATCTCTGTGGCGCCTGATTAGCGCCTGCCCAAAGACGCCCAAACGTACTCGACACACCGTATAGGCCCAAACACAGGCTTACTCGCCAGGACGACAACGGCTTTCTGCACCGTACTCCTCGTCATGTCCGGTTCCTTGACCAACAATGCACTCGTGGCGATCTGTCGGTTGCATGATATACCGAAGACGGTGGTGGGCGTGGGCGAGACGGGCACGAGGTGGAAGTACGAGTAGTCTTCGGAGCTCTCGTGGGTGGCGTCAGCTTTACGTTGCATGTTATATACAAGGAAATGGGACGTACTAGGTGCGCGCCGTCGGGTAAAGCCAAGAAGGGCAGGATCTTGGCTATCTCCTCGTCCTCGAATACGTCTCCCTCCGAAAACTCAATCCTTGGTCCGACCTGCACCTTGGTCAGCAAGTCATACAGCGCTAGAGGGCTGTGCACATACAAGATGGTTGAAGTCCACCAAAGCAATGCCGAGCACGATCGGCCCGTCATGTGCACCGGGCAACATGCTCTCCGGTCTTGCCTTTCTTGACCTGCTCGAGCCGGAAGTGGCAAACGACTGTACAGATTCCCTCGACGACGCGGGTTGTAACGGCGGCGGCGGGTACGTCACCGTCGCGGCGCTATCCGACGGCTCCAACATGTCCTGTTTCGAATATGTCTCCGCCCCGTATGTAGACGGTTCGGGCGAGGTGACCGAGCTCGTCCTCGCGAAACTCGCGTCGTCGCGGTCATTATCCGTCGTAGAAATAGTATTCGTATCGGTATGCTGGTCAAGCCCTCCGTACGGATCCACATGCGTATCAAAGTCGAAAGCCGAAGGTTTGCGCGAGTGCGAGGGCGAAGAGAGCGAGATTGAACGCGCAGAGGCGGTGTCGGCGTCGTCGTCCAGCGCCGCGCGCGGATCGTGGTCGTCGTCGTCCATGGCGTTCATCAGGAAGGGAGAGTCGGTGTCTAGCGCGTCGTGATGATCCATGGCTGAGAGAGTGATGTGGCCGTCGTCGGGCAGGTTCGAGTTGCGTTGCTGCTTAAACGCGCGCCGCAGTAACGCGGTATGGCGCGCCCACGTGTCTTGCCTCTTACCCTCATCTCGACGCGTCGAGAAGCCGTGTAACCGCGTAGCGACGCATCACGATCCATGAAGAAGCATTGAAACAGGCATGCAGTATAATTAGAGCAGAAGATCAAAGGGATAGAGTAGTGTTATACAGTAAAGTCCTGAATCATAGCAAGTACTTCTGAGCCACGTTCACTGTAGCGTTCACGACCTCGAACAACACCTCCGGGCTCGCCTATATACACAGCCTTCGTCAGCAAACGTTCTATATCACTCCGTCATCAGGCTACTTACTCCAAGCAAAGCGAAATGCACGACGCTCAACACGGCCTTCTGCCCCGCGAGCGCCTCAGGTATGTCAACAGTAAAGTTCTGCTGAATCCCGTAGTTCCCATAGTACGGTGGCGTGGGGTATTGAGGGTTGTATGGACCAACATAGAGCGTTGTGCCGAGATGCGTGGCGGGATCGTCGCAAGTACCGTCTGGGTGGCAGGGCGCGATGGAGATGACGATGTCTACCTCGCGGGAGCCTGTGGTGCTGGGCTTCCATCGGACGTGAGTGGCATGATGTGAGCAAGTGGTGCGAGAGATGCATACCTGGCGGTTGACTTGTACTGTTTGGTTGCCGGGGTGGATGGTGCTGCCACTCGTCGGGTAGTAGATGGAGGCTTGCTGGGCGAGAGCACCAGCGAAGCACGCAGCGAGAGCGAAGAGTCTCATGTTTGATGATTTGGAGAGTAGGCTGATGGAATCGTACTTGATCAGGAGGAAACGGACCTTTATACCCATTCAAAGAGTATAGCTTCGGGATGCAGACGGCAAGCGGGAGATCCCTGCCCGTCCCCCATAGACTGTAAGCCGGGCTGAACACTCCGTCATGAACCGAAAGCCTGCACTAGGCGCGAACCAACAGTAAATCGTCTCATCTCCGCTCTCGGTGGCGTTCATGAAAGCCTCAAGGGCAGTGCAAATCATGTTTTGAACGGCGGGGTGTAGCCGAGTCTATTCGTGGGTATGGAGGACGGGCCAGCAACGGCGAGAACCTGGCCGTGGTGAATACTCCGACGGGACAGTCGGGATCCCTGTGGCGCTCGCGTAGGCACAGAATACTTACTTAAGATGGTTGCGGCCCGAGCTCTACATACAGCTACCGGGCTGCTGGGTTGACGACATTAGATGGGGCGAGGCACATCCGGCCAGGCAGTGAACATGGTGAAACCATGTTGAGCTCGTCAGTCGTGCTTCGGACGAGCCGGCCCTGTTTCGGCGCTTAGACGTCCATGGGGTTCTTCCCTCAGCAATGCCAGTACGATGTATGAAAAAAGCGAACTGTGTCGCATACTCGATTCCAGGGCGATGGTGGGCGAAGGGAAAGCGTGGATGGCTCTGGATGGCTGCGCCGGCGCTATCGGCTTTATCCGGATTTAGGCAGTTATCCTCCCTGTTTATGACTCAAATCACAGAAATAATACTGATTCGTCTCGCTTCTGGTATTTTGTACAGTAATACACGTATCAACATCACGAAGCATTTGGTACTCTAAGCGCATCTCTCCGTTTACAGCAGACTATCGTCAACGAGCTGCGGTCCAATTTCCTCAGTACGCTCCTTCGGCATAAGCGTCACCCATCGATCCTTGAAAATCTCCGGCCCACGCTTGCCAAAGTAGCGCTCGCTTTCGAATCCCCACTGGTCCGAAGCCCTGACCCAGTTTCCGATGCCGTCTACGTATCTGGCGAGATCTGAGTCGATATGGTAGGAATGGTACTTCGGCACGTGGTGGTAGTAGAGCTCGAGAAAGCGCTCTTCGAGACCGCGGTGGTGGTTCTCGACCCCTGTAACAGACAAGTCAGCCAAGCTCGGGACGAATATGTTCAGTGATGGGCACGTACAGTCCATGGCTCCTTGAACGTCCGTGTTGTACTGGTGCATGACAGTCGTGATGATATTATGATTATCATCGCCGCGCGCCTGCTCAAGATTGTAGCTCGCGATATCCTGCATCACGCGCGGTCAGAAGGTCGCGTCAGGCACCCTCATGCACGCTCACATTGCCAAGTATGATCATGTCGATGCTAAGAATCTCCATCTCTTTGATGACCGGATGATCCATGACCTCTTGCGGGAGGTTCAAGTCAAGCTCGAGAACCGCGAAGCTAGGTTTTGCGCCGATCGTGTCACGTCTGACATAGAAGTACTCATCCACGTTCCGGACGTGTTTATTGTGGCGATCTTCGGCCTGTTGCACAACGGCCTGCGTGTACTGTGCGTAGGACTCGAGGAACCGTTTCTGAGACCCTGGCGAGGCCGTCTTTATGGCGAGCTCCCAGAACCTAGCCACAATCAGCTGAGGAAGAGTAGCAGGTAGCGAACATGGCCCACTGCCGCGTAACTTCGCCTCCGACCCATTCGCCCTGCGGGCGAGGCTTGTGCGGGTTGTACATGGCGTCCATGATGACGTCGGCCATCACCTGTACCTCCTCCGGAGGCGCAACGTCGGAGTATTCGTCGTAGTAGAAGAAGTGATTCATCATGTCGCATCCTGTGCGAAGATGCGCGGCGCTGTGATCTGGGTACGCAAACGACGCGAGCAAGTCTGTGGTATGATTGGAACGAGTTAGCCAGGGTGAAGCATAGACGCAGAGATATAGAGACTGACTGAAGTCACAGCGGTCGTAAGCGTACTGGGCCTTCTTGGAGAACGCGCCAAACGAGCGGGCCCAATCGGCCGATGCAGCCTTAACCTCGGGATAGTGTTTGTTCAAGTGCCGCGGCCACGGCCAGTTAACAAGGCAGTTCGGGATGCGGTAGCGTTGGCGTTGTATGATAGTCATGAGAGAGGAGAGCCTTGGAGGTTGTGGGTCGGAAATCGTTGTAATCGTGTTTATAAAGACGTTGCGGCAGCAGAGCCGACGAGTGGAGGCCCTATCCGAACTCCCATTCGCGCCGGCTCCCGATACTCGTTTCAGCCCATGAATGGCTCGAGATTATGTCTAGTGTAGGCAATGTTCCTACATGGAGCTGGCGGTCAGTGTCGCATACGCTAGAGGAGTGCCAGAGGTCGCGATAGCTCACCTCTATCTGCCACGTAACAGAAGGCGGGTACATATCTACACAAGCCACGGCCTCCCGTTTCATTCCGTCTATGCTATACTCACAATCGCATTACGTGTAGTGTAGCCTCTACATCATTCAAAGAACCTGGTCGGACCTCTGAATGGCGACGCGTTCCCAACGGCGCCCAATTGGCTGTCAGGATTATGTTGGGAACACCCAGGGCGGCGCCACAAGTCTTTCCCCTTCAAGCTGCCCCGACCGTTGTATGCATGGACGCTGATTACAACGCCATCAGGTCAGGGCAATGCCGTGACTTATATGAGTCCGGCCTCCGCACATCGTACAACGGTACAGCGCCAGAGGACCGATCTGACAGAGTCAGTAGCAGGGTTACTATCTCGTTGTTCGCGGGCGAATACGAGGGATCATGTCTGCGAGCAACGTCTCTTCGCGCGCAGATGCTTTAGATATGGTGCTCGGGCCCGTATTCACGCCCATAGCCGAGGATGATGGTGGTTGAAACGAGAGTCCATGCCACATGGTCTTTCGGACTTTCCGGCCCGATTACCTCGCGCCTGTTTCACATTTCCCATCAGCAAAAAAGTTGGTGCTCGTCGTTGAGCACGCCTTGATATGGCCATTTCGTGCTCTCCGCGTAGCGCATCAAGACCATGATATTCTTAGTGAAGGTGCGGACGGGTGGTAGGGTAGACTGGGTCGTAAAGACGTGCGCTACAGGGGGACTGAACCGGAATTTGGTAGCCCTGGCCCTACAACTACGTGGACCGTCAGTAGGGACCTAGAGTAAGATCTATGAAAAGAGGCATGCCATCGCCAACAAACTGAATATCGTACCTCAGACAAGCACATCTCCTCTTGAAACTTGAATTCCATGATCGAATACCCAACGAACTTCCAGATCATCTCGGGCTCGCCTAATGATCTCGACCACACATAGTTTGTTGAACTCCCTGTCGTCCATAGGTAATGCAAATCGATCGTGTACGATGACGGTGCGTATCAAAGGGCGTTGTGTCAACGAGCGTGCGACATCCGCCCAGGAGAGCCTCCACGTCAGATCGAAGACGAGAGAGAGCGTCTCTAGGCTCGGCAAGTACTCGGGCGATGCGCAGAGTAATGACAAAGCCCCTGCGGTCCTATCTCCCACGCGAAAGTTGTTGAAGTGGCAGAAGCGCACGTTTGGTAGCGACCTCATTATCGCCTTCGTTTCGATCGGGAATTGACTGTCGCAGAGCAGCGTCAGCATGGTGATGCGGTATCCATCCATGAAGTCCAATATGTGTTCGAGTTGAGCGATGCCACTAGCGGCGGAACATTGGAAGATCAATTTCGGCCGACGACCGGCGAGAGGTGACACGTCCTGGTCCATAAGGTTGATTGACTCGTAGAACTCGATGAGGCACTCCTCAAGATTCTGCGTGAACTGGTGGGGCCCATCTCGGCATGGATCCGATATGCTGATGGCGATGTCTCCGCTGGATTCCACAAATCTATCCCAGGCGAAGCGGAGGAGAGGGAGCGATGGAGCGAGTGTGGACATCATGCGAGTAGATATGACAGTGCAGTATGTGCTCCGGGGCATGTTGATCGCCCGCGAAAGAAACGTGACGGACATATCAACGTCGCTGCCGAAATGAAACTCGCTCAATCCCGGGAGAAAGACGGGATCCGTGCCTTTCAAGGCGTCGTCGGCGAGTTGTTCGCTTGTATTCAAGCACCGATGTAAACGAAGAGTGCGTAAAGTGCTTGCGTTCACCCTGAGGAGGTCTGAGATCAGAAGGACAGGAATCTGTAGCCTCCCGGCGGCGCCAGTTATATCAAGGTCCACCAGAACAGATGAGGTCCATCGCATAAAGAAATCCTCGAATCGGAGGTGTGCCAACTGCGGGGCATCCACGATCGGTAGCGAATGATAATCGACGCCGGGCTCGTATACGAGGTTGGCGGATACGTTGAGTGAACGAAGAGAAGTAAAGCACGGTATCTTCGCTTGCAGGTCAAGTATCCTGGTGAACAAGCAGTCCTGTCGGCGTTCCCAGGTCGTTCTCTCCAAACGGATGCTTTGTACACGCTGGGCGAGTCCTTCGTGTAGTCGCAGAGCATGAAAGACTTCTTTCTCAGCACCTGGACGCATACTTGAGCTCAGTGTGATCATTGAAGCTGGGCAAACGTTGCCAGACCAATAGAGCATGCAATCAAATGCTGGGCCAGGTAATCTGCCCAGGTCTCGGGCCCACAGAGAGGGCATGCGAAAGAGTATCTTGCGCCAAGCCGCACATACATGAGCCATCGTGATCCACCCTAAAGTGCTGGGGCCTGCACCAAATAATGGGTTTACACGTCCGGTATCGTCCTTCTCCCTCTTCTCTGTGGTTCGCCTCAGCATCAATATATCCGCAGCATAGTTTTCCCAGCTCAGATCGGAGTATAACATGGGCCCGCATGGCGGCGCGATGTCCGCAAGAGTAAAGAAGATCATAGAGAGGATCTCCTCGGGTAGAACAGAAGTAGTGGCAATGATAGCATTCGCGATGCTACTGGGGACCGAATCTTGCAAGGATGCAATATTGACGGGATGGGTGCGCGCCAAGTCACGTAGAAGAGCAAAGTGGGCAACTGAACCACGGGCGATGGTGGGAAGACGTTTCTGGAGAGCGTCTAGTCCTATTGCTCCCAACAACTGAACATTCTGTCGGCGCAAAAGTGTCTCTTGTGAATGGCCACCCTGATTGAAAACGCGCTGGCCCACTCGACCACTGTTCATCGTGAGGCGGTTATTGGGTCGTGATTGACAATACTCCTGGCGCAGAGTACAGACAGCAACTGTCCATAGACTGATGTGAGTCGGCGGCGGGGGGAAGGTGGGGAACGGCGAAGATTGCACTATTGGTGTTGGTGGTAGCGTCCCAAAGCGCGGCAGCTCGCGTGTTGACGCGTAACAATGAGAAAATAACGTCGGACCGTCCGGGCCGAGCCTAGGCCGAGGCGAACTTTCGTGCGGTTACTGATCGTATTGCACAGTGAATTGATGGACACTCCTACGAGGTCAAGTTAAGAAGAGAAGGCAATGAGTGTTCTCCATGCCCACTTATAAGCTTGACTTGCACGAGCAAATTAAAATTTGGGTGAAATGGAGTGAGGGTTCAATGGTATGTACACATTTAAAGAGGTCATTACTGTAGGTACTGTTTCCATACATGACGTCATGTATCATCATGATCAGTACAACCAAAGAACTTCGAGTCCCTGCCGGCCTATGATCTGGAGCACTTGACGATGATCATCTTCCTTCTCCTCCACTGGCAGGGAGAAACGATCGTGAATGATGAGGGTACGAATGCGAGGGCGTCGGGCTAAGTGACGGGAAAAGGCTTGCCATGAAAGTCTCCATGTTGAATCATAAATGACGGAAAGAGTTTCAAGGCTTGGCAGGTTATCGGGGCTTTCGCAGAGCAAGGATACCGAGTCCAAGTCCGCGGGGCAGCCGCCGGTAAACCGAAAGTTGTTCATATGCAAAAACCGTACATGACGAAGAGAATCCATCAAGTCCTCAATCTCCGCCTCCTCTGGTGTTTCCTTCCCAGAATCGATCTGGAGGGACAGCGCAGTGATGCGAAAATCATGGGAGTTGGAATCCAGCAGGGATGCAAGATACTCGAAGCCGTCGTCAGCATCGAGTTGTATCGAAAGACCCGGGCGGGGCCCTGCCTCGGAGCACCACGAGTCTTCGTCAAGGGCTCCCGGGTTCGTGTCGGCCGACTCGAAGAATTCTACAATGCAATCATCGCGGTCGTTGTATCGCGCGCTCGTCACTCCTCGTTGACGATCTGATATCCTGATACTGATGTCTTTACCAGTGTCGAGGAACAACGTCCACGCAACGCTGAAAAGTCCGATTATCGGCACTACGGTGTCATTAGGGCGAGTGGATGTCAGGGTGCAAGGGACATTAGAGGGAAGCATGAATGCCCCCGTGAGCAGGTACGCGACTGCACGGGCGCTGCTGCCCAGGGCAAAGTCTTCGAGGCCTGGTAAAAAGACATGAGGCGCATCTGCAAGAGTTTCGGCTAGACGAGCAGTGTCGTTACTCTCGATACAATCGTACAGGCGGAGCGAGCGCAATGTCTTTGCGTTGACCCTAATGAGGTCCAAGATCACGAGCACTGGGACCTGCATCTCGCGGACAGTCCCGGAGATATCAAGGTCGACAAGTGCGGACGAGTTCCACCGTAGGAAGTAATCTTCCATCCGAAGGCGTGCTAAGTTGGGCGCCTCGACGAGAGGCAACGAGCAGTAGTTGAGATCCGATCGGTAAAGGACGTTCGCGGACACGTCAAGCGTACGCAGACAAGGGAAGCTAGGAGTTTGTCTCTGGCCGAGGATGCGACCAAACGGACAAGTTTTGCGCGTTTCTCTCATCGTCCGCTCGAAGCGAATATGTTCAATGCGGTGCGCGAGCCGCGAGTCGGAGCGCAATGCAGCGGCGACCTCCTCCTCAGCTCCAGGCCGCATGCTCGAGCTCAATGTGGTGATGGATATGGGGCGCGTCTCTCCGGACCAATATAACATCCCTTCAAATGCGGCGCCAGGCAGCGTTCCCAAGTGGCGCGCCCACAAGGATGGTATGCGAAAGACCAGCTGGCGCCACGCCGAACAAATGTGTATCAGGCATATCCATCCGAGGGTACTGTCTCCCGCTCCGAAGGATGGAAGGGCACGACCAGTGACGTCTTTCTCCCTCTTCTCCGTCCCACTGAGCACCTCCGTGTTATACTGCATCATGCCCGAGTCGGCAAATAACATAGGTCCGCGCGGCGGCCAGATATCCGCGAGACAAGAGAATATGATTTCAAGGATATCTTCGGGTAATGTGGATATAGCCGGGGCAAAATCGTTCGGGTTGCGATCGGGAGAGAGGGCGAGCAATAGAGGGACACCGGTAGAATCGGCTGCGAGCTCGCGGATGAGCTTGAAGTGAGCAGCCGAGCCGCGGACGAGGTGGGGAAGCTGTTGATGGACGACGAGCAGTCTGTCTTTGGTGATTGTAGTATCCTGATGCAAGTTCTGTCGCATGTTCGATCTATATTCTGCTCCAAGGTTGATAGTGCAAATGTCGCTGCTGGCGATGGTGGTGAGATCCAAGCATCTGGGCAAAGGGAACACCCGACATGGCTTCGTCGGCGCTCGGGCCGATGTCGGACGTACAGCTCCAACTGCTGCCGCTCAGTATCTGCCTTCGCTCGCGTACACTTGTACAATTATATATCTGAACGCCGGGTCTAAACGCAACGGTCACCAGCAGTTCCGCATTACGCATTGTATACTTCTACACATGGAACTTGATACACTCCAAGAATAGTAATCACAAACAAGAGTCGTACAAATCGTATAGCGCCATTACTTCGTAAAACCAATGTAGTCCACCCAATGCTCCTCCTGTCCCTTCGGTACGAGTCTACGCAGACCTGCTCTGCGCCTCACGCATGATCTCCATCAGATACGCCTGCTCATCCACGCTCAAACCCGTGGTAGCAACCGCATAAAGCCCTGAGTTCTTCCCCTGCATCCTCTCCAACGCCTCCCTAAACCTAACATGCACATCCAATCCCTCAAGGGGGCTGATATACCCGAGCTCCTCCTCGAGCTCGTCGTCACCGTCCGAGTCATCCTCCGCATCGCTCAGGGAGCCGCTTCCCTTCGCAGCGGCCTGTGCGCGCAAACGCTGTCCCTCTTGTGCGAGCATCTCGACATATGCGGAGTCTTCGTCCCACACATCACCGTCTTCCTCGCCCGCATCGCCGAAGACCATATCCTGCTCGTCCTCGTCATCCTCACTGTACTCGTTCAACGCGTCCTGCGCCGCTTTACGGCGCGCGAGCGCCGCCGGTAAGCCGCGGAATACGCGCAGAGCAGCCGCGACGATACCCTGCAGCCCGTCGGGCGCTTGCGAGGGCTCGAGCTCCATCAACGCGCAAAGCGCTGCGAGGGACAGCTTCTTGTCGTGCACACGCGGCAAGCGGTCCTTCTCGCCTCCGATAAGCCCGAACCAGCGCTGGATGAACGCCGATGCGCCTCCAGGCGCACGCTGCTCGAGCAGCTGGAGCGTCTGCGCGGGAGCATAGAGCACGGCGTTGATGAGCACCTCAAGCATGTGCAGCCTGAGCGCGCCCGTCTGCGCCTTCTCGATGTTCTCGGCCGTAGTGTTGACAATAGGCGCGAGGATGTCATCAACATGACCGCGGAGGTTGAGGAAGAGCGACTCGGCGATCTTGCACCCGTTGATCCGGTCGTTCTCGCCGAGCTGCTCGGAAGTGAGGGAGGTCTGGTAGATGTCGAGCATCATGTGGCGGTAGTCGGCGCGCGCTTTGAATACATCTGACCCGAAGGAGATGAAGTTGTCGAGCGCGGGGAGCATCTCGTCGAGGAAGTCGACGGCGTCGGTTTTAAAGAGGTTGTAGGTGAGCTCAAGGACGGGCCACATTGAGGGCGAGATAGACTTGGACTTGAAGGTCAGGCTGTCAACGAGGTCGTAGACGTTGTCGAACAGGTCTGTCCGAAGTACTACAGGTTGGTCTCAGGACACTCAAAGTAGGAAAGTGAAGACTTACCGATGAGGCGGTTCTCCAAGGTGAACACGATGATGGGAATAACGACCTCCTGCACTTGCGCCAGCAACTCCGGCTTGGAATCGACAACTGAAACGATGGTTCCAATAGTCTTGGCCACGCCCATGGCAGCATACGTCTTATCCTCGTCCTCGCTGATCCCGAAGTCCGCCGCATCAGGGTTTGGTACTGTCTCCTCCTGGGTCACGCTCTCCCTCGCGAGTCGCACGTAAGACTCGCAAAGACGGCTGGCAAGCGCGACAGCGACGGGCATGAGCTCAGCCTGGAACACTTCGACCATGTTCTCCATGCTGTTGTTCAGGAGGTCCAGATCCGTCTCGTCGCTGAGCTTGAGCAAGTCCAGGATAATCTTCTCGACCTGTGGCTGCACAGTGACCTTGACACTCTCGTGCGCAGCGATCATCTCCGTCAGCGCCAACGCACCCTGTACACGTACAGGGAGCTCGGTATCTTGCATGGCGCCGCCGCATGCCTCGAAGACTGCGCGGAGATGCGCCTCGTTCGTCCACTTGATGTTGTTCACCTCGGCCACGCCAACGACTTCGGCAGCGATGTAGCGCATGTAGCCTTCGGGCGAATTGAACTCGGGGAGGACCTTCTGGACGATGACCGTCTCCATACTGCCCTTGATCTCCGGGTGACGGAGGATGACGGGTGCGAGGATGGAGATCATGTTGAGAGCACCAAAACGTTGTTGCGGCGTCGCGTTCCTGTAGGAGACGGCATTTAAGGATGCGATGCAGTACGTTGGATGTGAGAGAATCGCTTACCCGGACAAGACCTGGTTGACGAAGTTAAGGATCGGCAAGAAGGCCGTCTTGGAGCGGCTCTGGACAAGCTGCAAAACAAACGCCGTTGCAGCAGCGACAGGGGACGAGTAAGCTTCCCAGGCATCAGTCGAGGTGCGGATGAAGTCGACGGGATCGAGATCCCAGATGCTCTGCTTGTGCTCGGTGAAGGATAGATGCGGGAACGCAAAGCGCGAGACGAGGGTCTCGAAGTGCGGCTTGATCAGCGTCCAGGTAGACTTGGGCTTCACGCTGTTGAATCATGAGTTCATGAATACATCACTAAGTATATGAGCATACCACTCGGCAAAGAACTGGAAGATGTGGTACTGGCACTTGTTCGAGATCCAGGACTGTCCGCTGACGTAGAGCTCGACCTGCTGCAAGTACACATTGAAAATCTCCGGCGCAAAGTGCGTGACGAAGTGCTGCGCGAAAGCGCCGTAGTCGGCCTTGAGCGTGCTGGGTAGCTGCGAGGGATTGCCGAACCTATAGCAGTACGCAGTCAGTCAGATGTAATCAATACGCAGTTATAGAAGGTCGCTGACCTGTGGAAGAGACGGCCGAGGGTGTTGTAGGCCCACTTCTTTGCCTTCCACCACTCGCTGCGCTCACGCTCATCTTCCGCCTCGGGAACAGCGCCCGCGGGGATCTGAAGATTGACGACCTGGAACAGGAGCGTTCCCCAGGGCTTCAAGCTCTCAGGGCTCTGTTGATGCGGCGAAAGGTGGAGCGTAATGGACGCGCGGTAAGTCTTGAGAATGTTGTGCAGGATCAGCGGGATCTCGTTCTCTGCGCCCGCAGGCGGCGAGGAAAGCAGACGCTGCGCGAGCGAGACCAGGATGGGGAACATCTCGGCCGCGATGTTGGGCAGAATCTTCTGCTCAGCTTGCCTGAAACTGGATGCCAGTTAGTATGAGGATCGCACGCGTGTATGGTCAGATTGCTCACCGGAACGCGCGAACCATCTCGAGGACGATGATGCTGCCGGCGACAACCTCGTGAATATTGCTGCTAGCGAGAAGCTGCTTGGACATGGGCACAAGTTCTGGCCATTTCTCGGGGAAATCATCGCTGATGACTGCCTTGAGCGTGGCACCGAGCTGGACGGTCAAGTTGCGGGAAGACGAGGAAGAGAGAAGCTGGGGAAGGGCGGCCTTGAGCGCGGCGCGATCTGAGGCGTGAATGGGCCGCTGGTCGGGCCGGGCCGTGTCGCCGACAATGGCGTACGACGACTGCACGCGGTTCTTCAGATAGACAGCGCACGCCTGGCGGATGGATCTACGAAATGATTAGAATAATCGGAAGCGAACGGCGCGTCGGATGCCACTCACGGGTCCACGCCGTCCGACGCGACGATCTGCAGCAGCGCAGACACGAACCCTTCCTGCCCGCTGATCTACGCGTCCGAGCAGTCTGTTAGTGCGACAACATAAAAATCGAAAGAAAATATGCACTTTGCGGATGTCCAGCTCGCCAGCCTTGCGGACATTAGGGTTCGGATTCAGCGTAGTCGCGAACAAGTTCGACAGCGTCTGCAAGTCCATCTGCACGCAGTTTGAGTGAGACACGCGTGCACTTGAGCGCGGTAGGTACCTTTTTGGGTATTTTGAGGGTATATACAGGGTGGTGGGTGGTGGCAAGACGGTAGAGGCGACCGATCCAAATTTCCCTCGAGATCAACACGCGCCTCAGCCATGCATGTTCGGCGCGTCGCGCCGCACCTTCTGGGCCGTTTGTTGATCTGCACGTCCATTGTGGCTTTGGGTCGCTTCCATCAGAATGTTGCTGTCAGTGTACGTCTGTTTGGACTTGCGGTGCGCCATCCGTGTAGACAAATATTCGTATAATGGACACGTTGCACGGCGGCCTGGCGTGGTGTGGCGACGACGGCTACAGGTTGTCCTGAACCACCATTAGCTTCCGTTCAGCATCAACACATGGAGATCCTACAACCTCCCCTCTTCCTTCCAGATGAACTGCTTGAATTCATAGCAGATGGCGTCGACTTGCGCGAAGACCTTCTAGCTCTCGCTCTCACCTGCTCCGCCTTCTGCCGCGTCATTATACCCGAGCGCCTCTACCGCTCCGTTGTAGTCTCGATCACGAACACAGACTACCTCACGCGCTTATCGCAGAAGCCTAAACTCATCGAACACGTCTATCAAGTGACGGTCGTGAACACTACTATCGTCACACCCTCGAGCTTGCGCTATGGAGAGCCAATACCACTCATCGATTGGACGAAGACGACCAATACACCAGAAGTGTTCCTTGAGCAACTGATGAACGCGTTGGCGTTATGTTCGAATCTGCAGTGCTTGCGCTTGAACTCGGGTTTACAAGACTCGTATAGAATGACTGAAGAGTCTATCAACCGGATATTGAGCCCACTCGTCAACAATCTGAAGGATGTCTGCCTCGATATCACTCGCTTCCACACCTCACCTACGTTCAGCGTGAGCGTAATGCTTTGAACTTTTGATACACGCCGAGCTGATACCGCAACGTAGCTATGGAAAGCGAGGAACCTTCGCACGTTGGAGCTCATCATCTCAGGCATTGACCGCTTCGACTGGAACGACCTATGTACTGTGCTAGAGAGCTCGCCACAACTAGAGGTACATCACCTCATCAACCTCCCGATCTCCGCACTCCAACTGACTTTACGTTCTTTAGACCCTTAGCCTACCCAGCATATCTCTCGCAGAGAATGCCCAGATCAACCCACTCGACCTCCCCCGGATCAATCCCCTCCCGCATCTCCCCCGACTCAAACATCTTTCGGCCCCCGTCTCCTTCAGCGATGCCACTACAGAGCTCGCCTTCTACACCTTCCTGCACGCAAATCCCAGCATCGAAGATCTACGCTGGATGTCACCCAGTCTTCCGAGCGCAGATAACATGCCTCTTTTACCCAACCTCCGCCGTCTGCGCCCAGGGACAGCCAGTGCAGTCTTCCTGCAGCGCTTCCTCGAGGGCAAGGCTTCTGGATCAGTCAGACTGGAGTCTCTGGAGTGTTACCGTAAAGGCATGCACCTACCTCCTCTTCTCAACGCGCTCGACCCGCAATCACTACAAGCTCTTCACATGCAAGACGGGTCGCTACCCGATATCAAAGCCCTCGCAGGTCTATTCACCCACATTAAAGACCTTGTGCTCCCGCATATGCCGACGTACGCCATGCGTGAACCACAAGGCCTACTCCAGCGTATGCGCGAGACCGTCATCACGGCAACCCCCTCAAACGCGAGCAAACGGACTTATGCGCTATTGGACGATATCGTACCGCTCTTCCCCGCATTGCAAAGGATTTGCCACGTCGACGTGAACACCGGCACTCCCGAAGCTGACAAGCTGCTCACCAAATTGCTCTGGTGGCCCCAGTATTCTGCCTCGTTCGTACCGAGCGCATCGGCCTTCCAGTCCATCTCGACGGGTCTGCTTCACATACGCCGGTCGTATCCTCAGCTATTGAGCGTGAATGGATGGAGACTGGAGGAAGGGATGGAGGAGAAGGTCGTACTGATCAGAAGTGTGACTGGGATGCAGTATCTTGGGATGGTGGCGCCCAAGTCGAAGTTCTGGCTGGGTAAAGAGGGTTTTGGAATTGGGCTCACTGAGGCGGGGTTTGAGGCTGCTGTGTAGAAGCATGGATTCTCGTTTCTATCGGGCGTACGGTAGACTTCATCATCGTCGGATTAATATCAATGGGCTTGGGGAATACTGGTATCCAGGCCATGCGCGTGAAAGCAGCATGTGTGGTGTGATGCGACGTCGTGGGGGCCGGGCGAGCGTGCGAAGCGAGTCCCCGGCGCTGGGTGCCCGAGGCTCGGCCGCGAGGCGCAGCGTGTAGGACTTGCCTTTCACCATCATCTTCGCCTCGTGCTGTCATCTGGCCCACTCATCCTGGTTCTTACATCAATCTTCCATCTTGCTTGGACGCCCTAGTCGACTTTCAAGTGTTACCCCCGCAGTCTATTCACCTAACACTATCGAAGTACGATCGTCCGCTTCCTTTTGTACCGCGTGCTTAGTTGATATTAATGCTCGTGCCGAACAGCAATGACGACCCTCCCTCCAGAATTGTGGCAGAAGATCTTTAAGATCGTGGTCGAAGAATGGCCCTTTCGTCCAGGGGACTTCATGACTCAATGTGGACAATGTTGCCCTTACTGGAGCATCAACTACAAGTACGGGGAGAAGTGCGAGTTTTCGTCTACCTCAGAAGACGGTACATCACGTACTGCCTGCGAAGTCATGCGTTTGGGATATATCAACTTGACCCTTGTATGCTCTACGTGGCGGGTTACGTTGATTGAGGATCCTGAGCTCTGGACGACCATCACGGAGTACTTCACTTCGGGCTGCGTGGACGCTTTCGTAAAACGGAGCAGAGATAGGCCCCTCAGCATATCATGGCACAATTCCAGGAAAAATCAAGAGGCCATGGCTCGCATCATGCAGAAGGCGCACGACCGCATACGGCGGTTGGAGACGGCGGTCGATGTACTCGACGTCGTCAACCACATGGGAGAGGTCGCGGACATCTCCATGCCTCAGCTGCATGGTTTGACCCTCTATGTTCACCCTCGAACAGCTACGAAGGACGTCATTGAACCTCTACAAGCCGATGGCTTGGCCGAGCTTGATCTCTATATGAAACCTTGCCTCGCCATTTGGTCGTTCTTTGCGTTGCCACGCTTACGAAAGCTCTCGGTCCACTTCCAAGTTGGCGATGGGATGGACATGGATATGCTATCAGACCTGGCCGACGCTCTACGTGCGCTACCCTCGCTCGAAGAATTGTACCTGGACGAGCTGGTGCTTCATAATGGCTTCCGAGTCTCTGAAGATATGGTGATTGAGCCGCATGCGGTTCAGTTACCCAACTGCTTTAGATTGGAGCTACGGGGCGATCAAAGGGTCATCGAGAGCTTGCTCGGTGGCGTCACCTTTCCTCCCCAAGCCCGCCTGATACTTTCGGGGTCATTCGATTACGGAGCCGCCACCGTCGCAAGCACATGTAGCACGCTGTTCAGAATGAGCGAGTCGTCGGGGGCACCGTTCGTCGCCGCCTCTCTGGACTTTGACGCGGGTGGACATCTCGACTCCATAATTCCGGTATTCCCGGACGAGAAATGGACATTGCGTGCCTCGCGTCACCTCGCGTCCGAAGCCGATGGCCCGGGTCATGAAGATATTAACATGTCCTGGCGCGATGCTCATCACCTACGCGATGGAGAGCAAGTCCTTGGGCACTTGTGCGCGTCGTTGGGACAGAGTATTCGCGAGGTCAGGCTCTCCCAAAGCGGCGAGACTCGCGTTCCATCGCCACTTCTCTACCAGCGCTGCTTCTCATCATGGACGCTGGTCGAACGTCTGCAAGTATCAGGCACCGGCATCGCCCATATCGGCCTCGATACGTTGCTTGCGAGTCCCACGAACAACGGACAACGGATCCTTCCACGCCTTCGTATACTCAAGTTCGACGACACTCAGTGGATGGACGTTATAGGCGACGACGGCGATGTGCTAGGACAGAAGCTCGTAAAAGCTCTACGTGAGCGATACGACATGGGGACGCGACTGGACGTCATCGTGGTACCGGACGTCGAGGCGCTGAAAGCGGGGAAGTGGTGGGAAGCGCTTCAGCAGATCGCGCGGGTCGAGCAGGCGTGAGGCGTCTCGAACTTATGTCTTGTCAATCCCAATTACCACGTACTGTATATTGCGAAGACGTGAATGTACGATAACTTGTGCGACTAGTGAACCGTGCCGGTCAATACGTGCGAATCAAGCATCCGCGCTGCATCCCCGCTTTCATTATGAGCGGTGGCCTCCTGGTACCACTGACCGACAAACACCGCAAGAGCAGCGTTGGGCGGAACCCTCTCTTATGGCGCTCTTGTACACGATGTTGCGGTCCCATGGTGGTAGGGACCAAATTATGCATAGTGTGACTGCATTGGGAAGAAGCAGCCAGCGGTCAACCTGAGCGCGGCGGGAGCGCCAACCGCGTCTCTGCCTATGACCATGACCACCACGACCTGATTTTTCACACACCGCACAATACGGCACTGTCATCGTATCCGTACACATCCTGGCTTAAATCTGAACTGCCGATGGCGAAGAAGTCGCGCGCGGACGAGCCTCCCAACCCCAGCAGCGTCGCGAACCGGGACATGCTTCAGCGCATGAACTTTTTGTACCAAGCCTCCGCATTCTTGCAGACCGCCTCGTTATCCCTTCCTCAGACCTCCCCAAAACTGAAGCCGGCTCTGACTAGCGATGGGCTGAATCCGGCTAAACCTGCGAGAGCCAGTGAATCGAACAAGCGCGCTAGAAAGCGTAAACGGATTCTGAGCGCGTCCGATTTGTCGAGAAGTTATGTGCATGACATGAGGCAGGTAGCGCAGAAAGCTACGGTCAGAATGTATGTCCTTTCGATCCTCTTGTCGATAACTTATGAACATTCTCGCAGGGATCCGTCTGTCAAGCGCACAGTATGCCGAGGATGCGATGCGATACTCATTCCGGGAGTATCGTCGCGAGTACGGGTAGCTGGTGCGTGCGTCACACCTTAACGCCGAAACATGTATGCTGATCATTCGCTCCAGCGTCTGGCCCACATGTTGAAGTACTGGTGACACATTGTTTAACATGCAACTCCGCGCGTCGCATACCGGCGCCTCCCGTACCTTCAGCCGTCCCATCTCCCGAGACGCCAATGCATCCAATGGAGGTAGACTCTATGACCCCACAGTGCGGTCAAGGGAGCCGGCGGCGGAGCTCGCGGGCCCGTGTACCACCGCTATGCGAACGAGAAGGGCATGTTGTATTCCGAGGAGGCGAACAGATCTTGCGTCAACCATCGACACAATAGTCCCAGACCGCATCACAACGACCTCCGGAAAGAATACCCGCTAGAAGCTTGCATAATACTTAGGTTTTAAGCATGCATTACAGTATTGCTCAGCTTAGACCGAGGATTACGTAGTTAAAATGGTAAATATGCATTAATGGGGTAGTGGTAACCTGGGTCGTTGCCATCGACCCGCCGGGGGTTCGATTCCCCCTTAATGCACAGCATAGGATA